AAAAATAACAACACTTTGTCAGGACCATGAGGCGATCATTCCTACCAACTTTCAGTTCAATCGGTCCAGCAGAACTTGACTTTAAGTTTGAAATAGGTTTTCAAAATGGCGGCCGTGGCGGCCATATTGGATTTCTGATCGACCCGAAAAATAACAACACTTTGTCAGGACCATGAGGCGATCATTCCTACCAACTTTCAGTTCAATCGGTCCAGCAGAACTTGACTTTAAGTTTGAAATGTAAAATGTTAATGGACGACGGACGACGACGGACGAAAACGGATAGCAATAGGTCACTTGAGCTAAAGCTCAGGTGACCTAAAAAGAGAGGAATATAATATTCATGTTGAAAAAGAATTAAGAAAATATTATCAGCTATTAGGTAGGCAGTATGCTAATACAACAGCAGTTGTTTAAAAAAATATATAAAGTGGCTGTTTGTGTACAAAGATGCATAGCTCGTCTGACAATATGTAAAATGTTCTATAAATGTATATCGATCTTGTTCTATATATATACATGTATATCTATCTTGTTCTATAAAACACATCCAAGACCTGTACATTATTTTATGGCATTCCATGCCCATCTTATCACATGTATTTTAAGTAGAAAGACCTATATACATATAGAAAAAAATTCTAAGTGAATATACGATGATTTAGATTTAATAGATGGCAGGATTCGGTGATTTAGATTATCCATAAACCATGTTCACAGAGTCACAAGGTGCAATATCAATGTACTTAGCTAAACCTCTAATGTCCAACTATATAATATAAACAGCTCGGAGGTTCACTAAGTTATCCTATTTACATACCTAACATTTAGTCTTGTTCTAAGTATACAGGCACACATAGTTCAGCAGGACAATATCAATCACATAACATATGTATATCATGTAGCTACAGTGCTTTGAAAGCATTCAGGCTATTGACGCAATCACTATCAAACAAATGTACAGAAGCCCTGGTAATTCCTGGTTTGTGTTATTTTGTTTAAACATTTGTTACGATCAGAAGTACATTATATTCTCAACATAATTTTTTAATACTTTATATATAATACAAATGTATATATATGAATCTAACAAGGTTAACAAGGCATAAAATGCAATCAAGCATATTAACTAATTCACTCCTGAAGACACATTTGCACTCGTTGGAATAGTTCATTATGAAACTTCAGGGGTGAATGAGTTAAGGTATGATGGTTTGATCAGGATAAACAGATTTGTTTGAAATATGTAACGATGAACTTAAGATATACAATTCATGTTCTCCATTAACTGTTAACTCATTCACCCCTACATAACTAAACTGGACTTGCCTAGTCTTTGATTTGGTAAGGTTCAAATGTGACTTTAGGGGGGAATGGGTTGAGGCCTGTTCCAGAATTAACTACAGGGTGGGAGGCACTTTTTCAGAGACTCCACTATCCATAAAATATTGGCATATCTGGTATTAGCCCCACCACCCAAAGTATATTAATACAGGTGCCTTCCAACTCCCCGATACGATAAATTATGGAATAATCCTCTGAGGAAGTGGTGTAGGTTTCAATGTTTTACTTTTTACACAATGCATGTATCAAATGTGTTGCACTATTTCAAGACCTTTGTCAAGCTACCTCCTGGCTGTATCACATAGCTAGGTTGACACACGGACCAGAAGGTCTTGAAATATTGTGACACGTTTGTTATGTACATTGTTTGCGTAAACAGTTAAAATTTGATAAACACATATTTCTAAACTGATAAATCTAATTGAAGAGAAGTGTCGTGAGGTTCCACTTAGACTTTTAAGTGGCCTATATCACCTTCTGATAGGTAAAGCTCCAGATGATGTTTTCACTATTAATGCCATCAGTCTATAGCTCCCGTTGTATGATAGATAAATATGACATTTTGACTAATCAGTGGCCTTTATATTCTTCACTCCTCGAAAACCTAGGTTCAGTTTGATCACATTTTTTTTACTATTAGTGATCTACAGCCTCTGAAAAGTCTCAACTCATTCCCCCCCTGAAGTTTCATAATGAACTATTCCAATAGTTGAATTGGAAGAGTTCAAATGTGTCTTTAGGGGTGAATGAGTTTATTCAGTTGAAGTGCCTAATGGTAACCTACATCTGATCTGGAACGCCTAGATTCAGTTTATATTTCAGACCACGAGTTGCTCACATCTATATTTGATATTATTAAAGACAAATTTAAATGCTCATTTTGACTTGAAGTTATAGACCAGATCATTCTTCATTTGTATCTACATAATATATGGTAAATACAACCTAACATTAAAATACCAGTTTAATATAAAAAAAAAAAAAAAATATGCTCTTTTTGACTTGAAATTACAGATCAGATGATATTCTCATCTGTATCTACATAATATATGGTTAATACAACCTAACATTAAAATACCAGAATAAAAATGAACACGTTTTTTTTTGAACACAAAGCATCATTAAAAGGGAAATATAAACAATGGTACATGTACATATACAAACTTAACAGGACCAGGTAAAATCTAACAGGTAAGTATTTTGATTGACTTATAAAACATCTAATGTTCCAACTCTGTGTAACAGGATAACGCTGATTTCACTCACACAGGGGTAACGTATATATAAGGTAATTAATATAATTAAACTTTCAAAACTTATATTGCAACAAGGAGTATAATCTTGTGTATCACAAACCTAGAGAAACATCATGTCCAGGAAAAACAGTAAACAACACCTTGACATTTAAGGAAAACATTTGGTATTTCTAAGTCTAATTTAAAACAATACTGTACATGTATTCATGATCAGTTTCTGTTTGCAAGAGATTAAATTTTACGTTAACGCATAAGGAGACTTTCTCACGAATTTAACTCATCCACCCCTGAAATTTTATAATGGACTATTCCAACCTTTAGATTGGATGAGTTTAAATGCGTCTCTAGGGGTGAATGAGTTAAACCTTTCGTAAATATGTATTCCACAGATGATGGTTACTGTATACCGGTAAAATTTAACCCAGTGAAATGTTCACCCCCCTCCAGTAAATTCCATGTTCGCCAATTGTTTATTTTGTTATTTATGGTATGCTGAGTAATAATATCTGCTGTCATGATATAAATACATGCACCCTCATTACAGTACAGGGGACGATAAAGGCGAAATTTCAATTGCGGCAAAACGGCAAAATTTCAACTGCGACAAAAAATGCCCTGTATATAGTATTTACATATGTAGATACATCTTCTTCTCAATTGCAAATTCAAGTATTCTAGGAATACAGAAATGTAGAACATGTGAGAACGTCATGACTTACAGAATTAACAACTAAAACATCACCCGCTCTGTCCATTATAATATTAAATATACTGCAATACACAAGAATGTATGTACTTTTCATACAAGAAAGAAACCATAAACTTTCTGTTAAAAAGTAAAACAAGATTATTTACCGACAACTTTTGGCAAGAAAAAAATACTTTGCAATAAACATTTAACAATCTTGTAAAACCAGATAAAAAATAAATTAACAAATATATAGAAAATAGCTTTATAGCTAAAAAGTTAAAAACATAACTGATCTATTTGTTACACGTATCAACCTGCAAAGGTAATGCTGATTTCTTTTTTTCTGTGGAATAATGATTAATTGTGGTGGTTTTTAACTGTTATATACCTCCAACAATATAGAGAGAAATGATATTTGTTGCAGAGAAGTTTTCAAAGGAATTATTTTTTTAAGACTGCAAACTCCAATGTTGGAGAGTGTTCATTCATGACTAGAAACAGTTGGAGTGAAAAAGACTCCAATGAAACCGAATTCACGTACAACCATAAAATCAAGATTCAGTTAGGTTTTAAAAATATAAATATTGTAATATTTCAATATTGAATGAAAAATTACAAAGAAGGCAACTAACTTTATGCAGGCATATTTTTTGTACTCTCGGTCCTCAACTGAAGACAGATGGACATAATGAAAATGTTTCTCTTTCTTTCATCCTATGTAAAAGGTTACAGCTATGTTTTTACAGGATTTTAAGTATGGTATGGCTTAATGCTGTCTTGTGATTTAATGGCAGAGCAATACAGCCCAGGAAATTATTGTTTTACAAATTACATGTATTATATACAACACATTGCCATATACAATGTACTGGTGTATAAACAAAACACCTATTACTTCAAAAACATGAAATATTTCCATACAAATTTGGGATTTATATTAAAACCAGTAGAAAGATTTGTTCCCCACGAATCTGACTTGTTGTCATCAACTCTCTGTGGTGTTTAGATTCTGATAGAGTGGCGACGGTTCGCACCTAGTCGGTGATGACGTGATTGGGATTGGCATATCTATGGCTTCCTCATAGGAGGGCGGAGATTCTGGCAGCGCTCTCCCTAGGGGCAAGGCAGGGGCGGGCCTTGTTGCTGTTTCCTTCCTCGGGGACTCCACCTGCTGAGTATTTGCATAGGTGTGTCTGGCGCTGTCCTGGGGTATAGCTTGTGTCGTCTGCCTGTCGACACCTCTAGGAACAGCTGCCGTCACTGCCAGTTGTACTTCTACTGGAAAACGTTCCAGCGGATCTGCATTCATGTATTGGTTTTCTAAGTGTTTAATAAAAAAAAAACAAGTATCAGCAATCACTTCGTCAGACTACGTTTGCTTAATAACATACACGCTTAACCCTTTCACCACTGTAGACCAAAATGGACTCATCCAGATCAATGCATGGTAGAGTCTACTTAAGTTACATAGGGGTGAAATTAAAGGGTTAAGATAAAGATCTGGAGACCAGAAGGATTCTTAGTACACTTAATTATATTTAAAAGTGATTCTCTTAATATATCTCCAAAGTTTGGTGAAACTGTTCACATTAACAGAGTGTTATATTATATACATTATTGAAATATTAAAATAAAATTATTAAAATTATTAATACCAAATTGATTTATTAAAGATAACTCATGTGTACTTCAGTCCATATTCTTTTATGATCCCAGAGCCAGGAAAGCTATGCACCATAACCTACTTATGAATTATATAGTTATATAAACTAACCAAACCTAGATGTATATACACAAAGTTGGCTGGTGCCACAACTTACATATACATGTACTTTTATGAATTCCGTTTTGTATCGTCAGTATCACATCACTCATTTTTTTCACAAACTTTCCATGACACAGTCACACCATAAAAGTCTAAAATGTGCTTGAAATGTAATATACTGTATTCACATGCACATTTATACATTACTGTGATCTTCAACCAGTACCTTAATGTATTATGACCATGACCTTTGTTTTCTGAACTTGACCTTTGTCCTGTGACCTCTATACCTATATTAGAAGTTTGTATATGGTATTTCTAGTTGCATTTGATCTGTATGTTAATCTATTCCTTCCAGAGAAGTTGTTTTTTAACTCATTCACCCCTGCAGACACATCTGAACCCTTCCAATTCAAAAGTTAGAATAGTTCATTATGAAATTTCAGGGGTGAATGAGTTAATTAAATAATGTATAATATTGAAACTTGCATTACAGATGACAATCTGACCTTTGATCTCTAATATCATTCTTAAGTGGGCAGTCAGACAGATAGATATGGTCCAAGCACAGCATTGAGAAAACAGTTCATGGTTCCCTAGTGTTATAAGTGACCTTACCCCGAGATCCAGCCAATCTCTGGTCAGCGAGTTCTGTGTAACTGTTGCGCTGGAGGCGGTGACGGCTGTTGGAAAGACTGGTGAGAACATGATGGCTCTCCTGTTGTTCCTCTTGTTGGTATTCCTGATGTAAAATCAACCTCAGTCGCACAGCCTTAAACACCATGATCGCCACAATGATGGCCGCTATCACACTCACACCAACAATCCCAATCTTTAGACCAAGTGACATGTTGTCCACTTGTTTTGTCACGCCATCTGAAAAAATATTTTGTACATGTATTGTCTTTGTAATAATGAAGACATTTTCCTCAATATGTCCCTCCCTTATTACATGTCCCTCCATTAATTGAGACCTTTATCTCAATAAATGCTACTCCCCATCATTAGTACCCTCACTTGACAATTGTCCTCGCAATAAGCATCTTTCATAAATACTTTCTGTAAGTACCACTCCTTTAATAAGCACCCATCACTCAATAAGTACATCTCCCAAAATAAATGCCCTTCTTTCAATACCTGCTCATTCCTCCATAAACACTCATCCGTCAATAAGTACCTGCTCCTCAATTATTGTCCCTCCCTCAATTAGCAACCTTCTGTCAAAAAGCACCTCCCTCAATAAGTAATTCACTGTCTTTGGTGTTACATATTCTCTGTACAGTATGTCTTACCTGTGAGCGTGACATTGATCCTGAAGTTGTACACCCTCTTTGGTGTTACATATTCTCTGTACAATATATCTTACCTGTGAGCGTGACATTGATCCTGAAGTTGTACACCCTCTTTGGTGTTACATATTCTCTGTACAGTATATCTTACCTGTGAGTGTGACATTGATCCTGAAGTTGTACACCCTCTTTGGTGTTACATATTCTCTGTACAGTATGTCTTACCTGTGAGTGTGACATTGATCCTGAAGTTGTACCCCCTCTTTAGTGTTACATATTCTCTGTACAGTATATCTTACCTGTGAGCGTGACATTGATCCTGAAGTTGTACCCCCTCTTTGGTGTTACATATTCTCTGTACAATATATCTTACCTGTGAGTGTGACATTGATCCTGAAGTTGTACACCCTCTTTGGTGTTACATATTCTCTGTACAGTATATCTTACCTGTGAGTGTGACATTGATCCTGAAGTTTTACAGCCTCTTTGGAGTTACATATTCTCTGTACAGTATGTCTTACCTGTGAGCGTGACATTGATCCTGAAGTTGTACACCCTCTTTGGTGTTACATATTCTCTGTGCAGTATAAACCGTACATTATGTTTCTTCTTTGTCATCAAAGATTTAGGATTTCTGTCCTTACAACCCAAGCGACTCTGAAAAGAAATTAGGCCTCATTCATCACTTTAATGATTAAAAAGATTACTTTATATTTTCCATATGCTGTACATGTTATATTATCAGGGAACTAAATCTGCACTTAGCTAGTTTATTCAATCAATGTCCAGTGATTCCGAAATCACCCATTTAAAAGTGTACTTATAAAATATAAATTTCATGTGTCCACTTGTAAGATACATATTGAAAATTTCAACCTTAAGGGGTGCAGTAGGGGTGAGATGGAGAGCATGGGGTTAAAGAATGTTTCCTGGGGTCAATGTATACATACAAATATGCCCAATATTTCAAGAGATTTGACAACAGGCAAAATGGTCACTTCAGAATTTAGAATATACGGCTGCAATTAAGCTTGTTCACAGTTTGCTCATCACACATAAATATGATGAATGGACACTGATTGATAGTGATCATGATCTACTTCCAAACATGTAATATACAGATGAAGTACAGTAGTGCTGTAACAGCTAATGTAATGAGGAGAAAATACTGCCTTACTGGCAAGCTAGCTTTTCCAGTGATGCGGTATAACCTGGGGACCCGCTCACTAGTTCACGACATCAAGTGTGGTCAGTAGTTGGATGGGTGAACGCCTGCACTTTATATTTGGTGGTAGCGTAGTGACTCTGTGATCATGTAAGGCCAGGGACGAGACTTCTCAGCAGGGGGAATAGTGTAACAGCTAAGGTATATGAGGGGGAAATACTGCTTTTCCAGTGATGCGGTATAACCCGGGGACCCGTTCATTAGTTCTGCAATGTCGAGCATGGTCAGTAGTTGGATAGGTGACCGCCCGCACATTACATTGGTAAAGTCACTCGAATGCAACTTACCATGAGAATGATGTCACGATCGAACGTGACAAATGGACATTGGTGGATGATGAGTTCGACATCACAATCTGGCATGTGGAAGCTCTCGAACTCAAGGAGCAGGAACTGTTTGTTGCTTTGACTGTCCGGACTCAGGATGACATTGCAGTCTTTGGACGCAGATGCATCCTTGTACTCCACGGTCTTGGCTAGTATCAATGCTGACTCTGTCTCCTTTATATAATCGACCATTACAGAGTTGCTATCACGACAGACCTTTTTCTTATCCATACCAACTGAAAAATTGAAGAAAATATTCTTGAAATAATTAAATGATGTTTAATATTATTTCAACAACTGTGTATATAAATATAAATTAATCTGTATTTTAATATTATAATTTAACACATATAGATTTTATTTAATCAGTACATCTAATAAATACTTATTAAGGTTGTATACTGATCATATATACATACTTTATAGGCTACAAAATACCGATATAATTTTGTTTTTGCCGAAATACAAATCGGCAGAGAACAAATACAGATATGAAGCAATCAGCTAAATTATTCATGTGTTACTTGTACACTGTAACTACAAATAGCTTGTAATTCAAAGGAAACCAAAATGTTACCTAGTTTCGTGGACTTTCCGTCTGTAACCGACAGGAAGAATAATATCCATATTTCACAAACAGCTAGTTTCTCCAAGATAACACTGACTCTGCTAGGATGAACAAACAGAAAAAGAATAATCATCAAATTAAAACTATACACAAATTTGATAACAAATGGAACATATACCGTACAATATTATTTCTACCAGAATACAATACCATTTTGAGAACATCCATTTCTCATAGTTCAGCATGGGAATCAGATTCATTGATGTCCTTTTTTTATTTGCCAAGGGAGATAACACAACTACAGAAATAAGTCCACATGACAAATCTATTGTGTTAGTATATATACAATGAATGTAATAGAACAATCTATTAAAAACATTTCTCAGAAAATTTAGTTATTTTTCATTTTGCCTAATGGCATGTTCACTAGAAAGCTGAATAATTTTTACATTGTGTTTTAAATTTTATGGCTTTATATGTTATTTTGATAACGGATGATAATGCTACAAATACTGACAGTAATTTTTAGCAGGACTATTTGGAGCCGATAATGGGCACCAGTTCCAATTGAAACTATACATATTGATGCCTAATTAGTCCATCATCCCAATTAACAAGAAAACACTGATTGCTGTGCATGTTGTAAACAATAAGAAAATTTTATAGTGATTAAAAAAGAAATACCTGTGCATCCTCTTCTCTACCACATTTTATCTAATTACCGGTACTCAACTGATCTTTTCAAAATCAATATCATAGGAAATCTGAGTAACTTTTAAAAAGTGTGAGCTTATAATTAATATTGGGAAACACTTTTTAACAACTTGTACTTTTTCTATATTGAATGCTAGCCCTACAGATTTGTTGTAAATAATAAAATATAGTGAGTGACAAAAATCTCAATCGCTGCACCTTTCTGACAAAGTTTACTCTACTTATCCTTCCAAACCAATGACAATAAACCTCTTTTTTTCAACTTAATTTTGTTTAAGAAATGAACTCCCCTTGTCATCAGTCAGCAAGATAACAGCAACACTGGCATAGTTGGACAACGGTACATGTCAAGTTGACACTGTATTACAAGCACTGACTAAATGGCACATCGGTTGAAACAGCTAGCTGTCAAGAAGGGGAACTTGATTAAACTACAACTTCACGGTTCAGTTAACAAACACAAAATAAACACTGGGCCAATTTCACCATCCCCTTAGTATACGTCCATGCCTTCAGGGGTATACAAGCCTCATACTGAGATTTTATTTAGGAAGGGGGGGGGGGGGGGGGGGGGGGAGCACAAGATTTAAGCACTGTAACATAACTGTTATTGCCAGATAGTTCTTTCTTTTGACAGTTTCTTCTGTGTGTATTAATTCAGAACAGATTTGGACAATGCAAGTTCAAAATTAAAAACAGAAACAAAAAGAATGTAAATTTCGATATTAAAATGATTTTGATAGATTACTGATATATATGACCGTCCGATACGGATAGGGGCAAAGAATGTTCCGGGAATATATTTTATCTTTTAACCTGAAACGTAACTGTCTACAAATTAATTACCATATAGATCATTGAGATAATGTATCACTAAACATTATTGATATGGTAATTAATGTTAGTAGCACTTCTTTTACTTTATATAATTACAGCCCAGTAGCCCTGCACTTATTAGGACACCGTTTTTAACAACATGCACTGCCGCGCACGCTGCACAGAGTACTTGAAAGAGGGCGTTGCAGTATATATTTGCAGATAGATAGATACATATATGGATAGGAATGGAGTCGTTGACCCACGCCCACTCGATCCCAGTCGTTGCAATTACACTAATTGTAGCTCGTTTTCTTCTTCCGTTAAAATTAAACTTATCGAACACAACCCATGTGTAAGGCATAGCATACAAACGAACCTTTTCATTATCAACCATAATATTCAGCTGTAACGAACTGCATTTCTTCAAATCTAAAATCTGCGCTATAAAATTTGCTAAAATTAGTTCCAGTCTCGGGTGTTTTTGTTTTTTACAGGTCTTCAATGTTGTAAAAAGTCTTTACAATTAGTAGCATAGAAAATAAGCGTTGTGTTAATCCCGACGGGCACCTGCTCTATTCATGTATATAAAACCAATTATGAATAAATATCCGGATCAACTAAAGTAGCTTGAAAATGAAACTATCAACAAGTGATCAAAAGTAACAAAATTATAGTAAGAATTATTATATGATTTAAAATTTAATTATTTAAAAGAAATAAAAAAATAAAAATACACAGAAATATGATTTTTAGAAAAAAGTGATACCCGCCGTCAAACGATTCTAATTTAAGAATCTCCCTATCATAACTACACGCCCCCAGGAACAAGGAGGATGTTGTGATCTGATGCTGTTCGAGATGATACTTAAATAGCTATTACAAAAATGAATGACGCGCCATGGCGGTGTTTGAGAAAAAGAAAATTCAAAAAGTGACTCTAGATGACACAGTTAATCTTACATGTGTGATCGACACAGCAGAGAAGAAGTCGGATCACATTGTAAGTATATTCACTTTCAGTTTGCCTTTTCCTGTTTTCAGCTGTCGCAATCGACTTCGTCAGCTTACAGTGGCGGATCCAGAGACCTATCTGGGGAGGTTTCCAACTTTCCTGGGGGGGGTTCCATGTGGGGAAAAATTGAGGAAAATGGTGAAAATACATGATTTTTAAAGAAAATTATCGGGGTGGGGGGTTTCCTGAAGCCCAAAAAAACCCTCTGGATCCGCCACTGAGCTTACAAAAATCCGGATATCGATATCCACACTATCCACGCGCTGAGATAATATGAAGTACACGATACATACGACTTGTTTCGTGGCAAGTGATATTTAGACATGCTGTTGACTAATAATGTTATTATTGACAGTCAGTATCATAATATTGTCCAAAATAACTAATTATCGCCTCTTATGGGCTCTGGTACTGTTGTTTGTAGTCTTTATAACATATCCTTGAAGAAGAAGAAATATGCATAATTCAGTTGTATCATTTCTGTTGTATCACATATATATATCTATACTTAGTACTAATATTAATATCCGGTCTCCTCTGCCAAATAAAATCTCGTCGTCAGAAAGCTACGTTATCACAGCTGATCCTTACTGGGCAATATTGCAATATTTCGTTTTCTGTTCCTGTTAATAAATTATTTAGTGTTGTTTTGTTGATTTCCATTCCAATAAATGTTGGTAAAGGAAAATCATGGTGTTGTGTTTGTGATACAGAAATCAACTCATATATATATGTATATTATGACTTTTATTACCTCGAGCAGCCAAGCCGAGTTTCCCCAGATAACATGTACATTACATTTAGGTGATTATAAGCTTTGTCAGAAGATACAAGATACAAGAATTTTTATTTAGAGTCGTGTTTGTAACAATGCAACTTTAGCTCAGAATAGCTATTCTTACTACTATTTTAACAATCATAATTAATAGAAACAATAAAATATCACAAAGGTAGCATGCATCACAGATGGTTGATTAAAAGGTAAAATAGCACGGTAATTAAAGGTCATGCGAACATAAAGCTCATGCAGCATATAAATTAATTTAAGAGATGTTTCAGTCTAATGTACATATATGCCAATATGGCAAAAACTAAAAATTGACAGAATACATGCTAATATAGCATAATCTAAAACAACAATGCATACATTGATGAAACAATATTTAGGAATTTACAGCATAAAAGAAAAATTACACAAAAGAAAGTTAAGCATCACTAAGAACCAAAACTTGTACATGACAACTATTTCTGGAGCAGAAGATGTTCCTGGTCACACTGTAACTGCATTAATAAAACTTTACCAAACAAAATTTATTAGAAGGACATCAACCATATTATGTTGGAAGCATTCTTAGGTGGTGGGTATTAAAAATTGAACTAATGAAGGGATTGTACATCATGTACATCTATATAAGCTAGAGGGCTAAGAGATTGGACCTAAATGGGGTTATTGGTCATCTTGCTTTAAGCAACTTTTTCTCTGGACCCATGAGATTTGTATCGACCTGTTTGTTTCAGAGCAATCTCAAGTTGCAGAGATTCAAATTGTGCAAATGGAGGGGCCGGCCAATCCCACTTATGTTTAGGGGTAGGGCCAAAAAGGGTTATCACATGGAAACGGTTGAGATCCCAACCTGATAACCATTACACCTTTGTTAAGTGTAAAGAGAGGAATGCACATCAACTGTATGCTAGCAGATTTTGCTCCAAGGTCCTGCCCCACCATTTGAGACTGTGTCTGTAGTTCATAAGTTCAAAACAGTTGGAAATCCCCAGGTCTTGACCATTTATACTATTTGTAGAAAGTTTATGTATCACAATCAGTAAGTGTTTATGTGACATTTTGATGACTATTAGTATGGTACGTCATACCCTCTCACCTTCATCAGACAAATGACCAGTGAAGCTTATGTACACAAAGATGTAAAATATGTACGAGTTGGCAATATAAAATCAATCGTTGATTCAGATACATGATAATGCATATGTACGCTTGGCCAGTTGTTTTGCATGTACAAAATGACACATCAAACTGATCACAATTTGATTCAGCTTCTTTTTTTTGTATTTAGTATTTATGTTCATCACAATGGCTCATATTTTTAAACTGAACAGCTTTAAAGGTAAAGAAAAATATCTTTTAAATCTCTTTATTTTTTTGTAGGCCTATACCCTTAATGTCCAGAGAGGCCCTAAACCGGAGATTTCATGGACTCTTGTTAAAAGATACAGTGACTTTTCCTCCCTAGATGCTCAGTTGAAGATTTCAAATACAGAGATTTCTCTGCCTCCAAAGAAAGTGTTTGGAAATTTCAGCCGAGAGTTTGTAGCAGAGCGACAGCAGGGTTTACAGGTAACTATTATAGGTTTACAGGTAACTTGTATAGGTTTACAGGTAACTTGTATAGGTTTACAGGTAAATTGTATAGGTTTACAGGTAACTTGTATAGGTTTACAGGTAACTTGTATAGGTTTACAGGTAACTTGCATAGGTTTACAGGTAACTTGTATAGGTTTACAGGCAACTTGTATAGGTTTACAGGTAACTTGTATTGGTGTACAGGTAACTTGTATAGGTTTACAGGTAACTTATATTGGTTAGAGGTAACTTATATAGGTTAATTGCAGGTAACTTGTATAATTTGTGTCAATTATGTGAGATCATTATGGTAATGTGTGTGGTAAGCATTTCATCATCCAATTTTTTCCATCTTAAGTGTGAAGTAAATGAAAATTTATCAAAAAACAATGCACAAAATGTGTATTTCTAAATTGACATTACCAGTGTAACTGGAAATATTTTCAGATTCCAAAGTGAGTAAACAAATATAAGTAGAACATATTTTGCATTTAAATCAACATTTATTGGAATAGGTTTTGGCATTCAAGCTGACCCCACCATACACATCATTAAAGTTAAACCTGTTAATGTGATTACTTCTGTTGAAAGAACATGTACTTGTGTTAACTCGTTCACCCCTTAAGTTTCATAATGAACTATTCCAACCTTTGAATCGGAAGAGTTGAAATGTGTCTTCAGGGATGGATGAGTTAAGCGATCACATTTAGTGTTCCCCATTGTAATAATTTCACTGTGAACTGAACCTGTTTGAAACGACCACCTGTGTTAAGAGACAAACATTTTGAAGTTCACAGGGGTGGTGTCTTAATACCGGTTTGACTGTTTAATTCCTGTTAACCCTTTCACCAATGTAGACCATAATGAACTCTTCCAAATTAAATATTGGTAGAGTTCACTCAAGTTACATAGGGGTGAAAGGGTTAACAGTGTTTAATACTGATTGGTCAGGGTATACAGATGTGTATCTTTCTACTTTCTACAATCTAGCTAATTGTGTGTGTGTGTTTTATTGATCTATCCAATCAGACCTACCTGAACGCAGTGCTTGCTGAACCTTTATTGGCTAGCTGTGTGTTCGTCAAACAGTTCCTCGATCCAGATAATTATGCTGTCAACATTCCAGGTAAATTATATGAAGGTTGGCACATTCCTGGTAGAATTGGAATTCATTTTCTTTGTGAAAAATGTATTTTTAATTTTCCACAAAAAGTTGTCTCCTCATCTTTTATTAAAATTATTTAATGTTATAATATTCATGTGATCTAATTTGTTTTATCTTTAACCAGGATGCTATTTTTCGGTAATACCAAATTGCTACGGCTTTGTAGATTTGTAGTTGGTATGATGATTACATTGTTCATATTAAAATATGGGTTCATAACTAGAGAAGCTAATTTCACTTTGAAGAATTTCTGTAACTTTCTAAAATTTTGTTTGTTTGAAAGCATTTTTTTTTAAAGTTTATAAGAAAAAAAATACAGACATAAATTCTTTGTAGTACCTACTATACTTAAAAATACTTTAAATATTCGTTTATTTGATGGAATTAATTGTTTGTAGTTTTAACACTGCATTTATTAATCAATTAATATCATTGTCAACTAGAATTGCAAAGGATCATTTAAGTCTTTTTCGCAGCATGAAAAGAAGTAGTTCAGTGTTTAGGATATAACCTATTGGATATATTTCCAGTTCTAGCCCTCCAACATGTGTCCATGGTGTTCCGATCGGAGAAGAGATGGGAGGTGGTTGAACCACTGCAAGACTTGGGCACCAGACTCCGCAAGACGTATATGTTGGTGAAACCTGTTGACCAGCCGAAACAGAGACAGTTGTTGTCCTGGGTCAGTTCTAGATCACATTTCTGTTCCATTTGTTTGTGGACTATTTACTGATTATTTAATCCTTCACCCCTCTGTAATTTTAGTAGACTCTACCAAGCTTTGATCTGGATGTGTCCATTATGGTCTACAGTGGTGAAAGGGTATATGAATATTCAGTAGGATTTCACAAGTCATACATTGTTTTATGGGTCACACTGAACTGTCCCAGGCTTTCATATTCTGTGTCACCCTGGTAAAATACTAGCCGCTTTCTACCAACAGATCAGCTAGGGAGATTTTCTCTCTAGTTCATTCGGTAGAGTGTATGACTAGTAAACCAGAGGTCCTGGGTTCGACACCTAGCAGCGGCATTGAAAAAATTATCAACTCTTCATAACATCTGAATAATTATAACAAACATGTTTAGGCCAAAACGAATGTATTTCAGTATTAGATATCCCAACCAAAGATTTTTACTGCCAACCATAGAACATCTTATCACCTAGGTATATCCAAGATTAATTTATTAGCCAGACAAAACTTCTTGTCGATCATTAAAGTTTACCTTTTTTCCTGTTCTTGGAGCCTCATGCCATTCTTGATAGCTTAATTAATAGCCTTTGTAACTTGTGGAAATGCTTTATAAATTCAAAGCAAAATATTGATCCATGAAAACAAAACAATAAAAAGTTTAAGGAAAATTTGCCTGCCGACCTACCCTAATATTTTTCAGGCATGTTACCTGAAACACACATAATTTTTGTTTTGGCCTTGCTAGGATTTTTTCTATCATAGCAGTTATTCCAAAGTTTTTATAGCATTCACATTTATGTCTCAAAGTTTCACACAAAATGACTACAGCGATTAATCACAAGTAAAGAAGAAATCCATAATTTGCAATTAATTAAGTTACTGATTTTAAAGAAATCTTTTGAAATAACTTGACATTTTTTCACTTTGCTGTGTTTTTGTGTGACCAGGTGGACTTTGGACCAGACAAGAACATTCCAGATAAAGAGTTAGCTGCTATATTCAAAGTATTCCCTTCAATACAGGTAAAGTATAAATGTACCATCTCAACACTATTGCTTTGTGTAAAGATATGGCCAAGGCAATAACATTACTGAGCACCTGGCCTAGCTACATGTATGTATATAGAAAGTAAGGAAAAGTAGTAGGGTGGGCTTATTACCAGGCATGGGCTTATCACAGGTAAAAATGGTAGATAGTTATACACATCTCCTGTATATAGTAGCATAAATTTCAAAATAGTTTAACATGAATTTAAGTAAACAATCAACAATTGTGACCCATAAATACAACTTTGTTTTTTGTCATTAATTTTTTTCCCTCTGATTGTTCAAGGTTTCATTAACGCTACAGTACCTGGGCGTATTATTTACCACTTCAAGGTATAAACCTTGTTTTAAAAATAAAAAAAACATTTCCTTACCTTAATTTTTCAGTGCCAAAAGGTGGAAAAACATTTTCTTTTGACATTATTGTAAATAAGACACATCGATGTTGTAATCAGAATATGTCTAGTCATGACGTATTGTTAGCAAGTTTTAATTACGATTCATGTCAATTACCGGTAATTTGTAGGGGAAAAAATGGAAAATACACTATTTCTTACTATAATGTACAGTTTGATATTTTATTGTACCTAGATCTTTTGCATCAGTATTAATATTCTACATAAACCTGTTTTGTTTACATACATCATCCATACATCTACCTATACCTGTTTTGTTTACATACAGCATCCATACATCCACCCATACCTGTTTTGTTTACATACATCATCCATACATC